CGCCCCTCTTTTCCACATACACAGAACTCGTACACTCGAGAGTACAGTAAAGTGTGGGCCTCTGGAGTACAGTACTACAAGGATGAGCAGTATAAAACATCGCAGTTCAGTTCCGTTCCCCACGGCCGCCGCCGTCCGTCGTGTCCGTCCCGAGCAGGTCTCTTTTGGAGCGGGCCATTTAGCGGCGAAACTCTTCTCCGTGCCTCCGGCGTATTAAGTCAAGCGCGCAGGTCGAGCAACTTTTGAAAGGTGTAAGCCTACCACGCCAAGGGAGAAGGGGGCGGGAAAGGGGAAGGGGAAGGGGACAGTGGCAGCAGAGCACGAGTTGATGCAGAAGGCGGGCCTGTAGGACGATTTTTAGTTTTATACTTTTATCAAATAATTTATCGGGCAAGAGTTCTAATGAATTATTCATTCATTTTCCACAAATTTTCTGCTGGAAGATTGGCTTTTGGTCGTTTAACATTTCAAAAGAAAGGTGTTCTAGTTTTGAAGATGAAAGTGTTTTGCTATGAGACGTTGGGGTCTCCGCCTTCTCCGCGGCGGCCGCGAGACCATCTGCGGGGGTCATCGATGCGAGATGCGCGGCAGCGGCGGCGGCGGGGAGGGCCAAGGTGGAGAATTCAGAGCGGCCCGAGGAGAAAGTGCCAAACCCACGGCAGGCATCATCACCACACGCAGGTGGCGGGCCACTGCGGTCGCACCTGAGCAGGCCTCGGGCCTACTGCCCCCCGGCCAGGTGTGCCGGCGGCAGCTGCAGCGCCACGCCAGTCAATGTACCCGCTTTTATTATTTGCCAAGCCTCGTCCGATTCAGAGCGGCACAGCTGCTTCGCAAAAAGGAGGGCCTAAAGGTCACTGGTATAGTTTAGTAATACTGTTCGACGGTTTGACGTCGCCGGTCGGGTTGAGAGGTGAGCGGAGGGGGCTACAAGGCCTATTCCCCCCTCCCCCTCAATTGGCCCCCAAGGGAGCTTTTACATGAGCGACCAAGGAGTCACCTACAGAATGAATAATGTAGCCTGACCAGGCAGACTTGGGTGATAAATGGAGTAGAAAACGAGATCTTTGAGGAAACGAGACGGCCAGCGATTCTCGACACTACTGAATAAATACCGTGTATCGGACGAGTAATCCCGCAGTTCACTATTGCCAGGCGTAGCACGGGGTGTTCCCCAGCCAGCCCCTGAGGTCACAGGGGTCACCGGGGGGGCGTGCCACTGTGCCCCACCACCCTGCCCCGTAATGGGCAAACTTTGGCAGGAAGTTGGCGCCGTCGCTGCGTTGCGCCTGTCGCCGCTACGCTACTTCCAGCCCTCCTTGGTGGCGAGCAGTTCGCGCACAGCCTGCCGCACCTCGTCCGTGAACACGGAGAAGCCGTGGTCGCGCAGCAGGTTCGCCACCCGCAGCTCGATGGAGCGCTGCTCCTGCGACTCGCTCCACTGAAGGCGCAGCTGGGCGCGGAGCGCGTGGTCAAGCTGGACAGCAGGGCGGGGCGGATACAGGACAGGGGCAAGGTTAGATAGACCGGCACTTCGGTTCAATCGCATTTCAACCTATACAAGGTTCAAAGAGACATGAACTTAATTGAAAAAGGGGTTGATCTTTGGAGATCTTCCTTAATCAAAATTTTGACTTTGACTGAAATTGTTGCAAATTTCAAATTTCTCAATGAACTTTAAATAAAAACTCCAACCGAAGTTCACGAAATTTAACTAAGCTACATAATTGTTTTGAGCCTATTTTGCCGAGGGAGGGGAGGCACGGGGGGCCGGCCGGGGACGAGGCCCCTGGAGTATAGGCAACCCAACGGACGCGCGTGCGCGACGGGCGCGGCGACCCGAGTGCACGTGCACTTACCGGCTCCCAGTTGTTGCTCTGCAGCGCCGCCGTCACGGCCGGCACGATCTTGCAGGAAGGGTAGCCCTGCGGGGTCGTAACAGTCACCGTCACACACAGACACTGCAGCAGAGCGCACATACCTACGACTCGGGTCGCGAGCGCCGCTTACAAAGAGCGCGTCGAGGTCGGTCTGCCACTGGGTCGTCTTGTAGGGGTTGCGGTGGTACACGGCGCCCATGATGTCCGGCGAGCTGAGGTGCTCGAGGAGGTCCGACACCTTGCCGAGGTTGTCCTCGTGCTGGCCGTACGCCGCCATCAGCATGTCCGCGGGCAGGGGCTGGGGAGCACGCGAAGAGGGAAGTGGGGCGAAAGAAAGGTAATGAGGGTTGAAAAGTTGAAAGTTGAAGTTGAAAAGCTACTCTACGAGGTTGGTGGGGCATGCGCCTGGCCCTCCTACCTGCTCGGTAAGGCAGACGATGTCCCTGACGAACCCGGCCGTGTCCACCAGGACCCTGCAGTACCGCTCCGAGCCCGGAGTGCCGGCCTGCAGGCTGCGGGCCTCCCCGGGCAGCAGGGGGAAGGGCCCCGGCGCCCGCACCCGCAGGAAGTGCAGGTGGCCGCGGGCGGGCGCAGCGGGGAGCCGGCCGCCCAGCACCACCGGCGAGGTCAACGTCGGCACCATCTCCGTGTAGCGCCAGTACGGTCCCAGCACGGCGCGCACCGCCTCGCCGATCTGCGAGGACGGGACGGTGTTGGTCACCGCGAGGTCCCGGACACTGAGCCTGGCCACCGCGTCGACGCCGTCCTTTACGCACCCCTTCGCTCCGGCTGAGGACGCGCTGCGGGTCCGGGGCGGCCGTCGCGATGCTGTCGCTGCGGGCCACGGTCCCGGAGGCGCTGGCCGCCGAGCCCTCCGCGGGGGTGCGCTCCTCCGTGTGCGCGCGCGCCTTGAGCAGCGGGTCCCACAGGCCACGCATGCGCTCCGCCAGCTTCCGGCCGATCTCCAGCGAGCTGTAGTGCGGGTGGTCCAGGTCCGCGGCGCACAGCCGCCGCTGATACGTGGTCACGGGGCCGCCCGCCAGGATGAAGGGGTCGTTGGTGCGGCCCAGGCGGTCGATGACCAGCAGGCCGTCCAGCACTAGCCCGCTGTCCACCAGCGCTGTCCGCACATCGAGACTTCTAGTTTGGATGCTACACATGGATGTGTACAGCACGGCGTGTCGCATGGGCTCACCTGAGAACGTGACAGGGTGGATAGCCTTGGGCTGGAGGCAGAACAGGGCCAGGCAGGGGATGGAGAGCGGGGCCAGCTCGTCCAGCTTCACGTCCGAGCTCTGCCTGGTGAGCAGGGCGAGAAGCGGCTCCAGGTTGGCGCCCTGCTTCGGCCTGAAGATGACGTGGGTGGCGTAGCGGTCGTTGGCGCCCTGTGGGACGGGGTCTTCCAGGAAGTCCGGCTCGCCGCAGACCCAGCCCTCCAGCTCGCAGCCCCGGCACAGCTCCACGCCGGCGGCCTCCAGCTCCGCCAACAGCGCCGCCTCAACCTGCGCGAGGAGAGGGCGGTTCAGCTTCGAGGACGCGCCCAGACACTTACTTCTGGCTCTACCGCTCTACCGTCGGTTTTACCTCGTCCTCGCCGAAGACAGATGGCATCCTGGGCCCCTCCTCGGAAGGGGACTCGGGGTCCACGATGAGGATCCTGCGGCCCGGTACGCCCCAGTGCATCAGGCCCGCCGCGCAGCACAGCAGCTCCGGGCAGTGCCACCAGCCGTACAGCACCACCGTGTCTGCACAGAGTTGTCGAAAACACATCAGAGTCACTTTGTCAAAATGTTCACATCTTGGGGCGTACTTCGGTGTCAGCTGGGCCGCTTGACCACAACATTGTATCGACAAAGTACCCCACTTTGACATCTATGTGGCAAATTTGTGTTCCTCGAATCCTAACGGGACTCACAGTCCTCGAGGATGCTGGCTCCCGGCCGTAAGACACTCAACGCCGTCCTCACGTCCACGTCCGTGTTGACTAGGAGCACGTTGACCGGGAGCTCCTCCCCCTCCTGCTTCTCGGGGCACAGCGCCTGCTGCGGCCCTCCTCCCTGCTCGACCGAGTCGGCCGTTTCGTTCTGGTGGCCGAGGCGAGTCATGAGCGACCTTGCTTCGATGTGGTGCACGAGCAAAGGTGGTTGTGAACGTCGTTTGTCGTCACCGAGGTTTCCGCCATCGAGCTCGACATGTCCGACACCGACGCCTCCTCCTCGCCGTCCTGCGGCGTGTCCTCGGCGGGCTGCTCTCGGCGCGCCGCCCCCGGCTCCGCGGCACTGACGGGCAGGGCAAAGTCCGTCACGAGGGTCCGTCACGAGGGTTGTCCACAGCAGTGATCGACCACGACCACGAGGCATGCTCACCCTATGGCGGCGGGCCAGCCTCTTCCCGTGGGGTAGTGCTTGCAGGCCTGGGTGTCCTGCGCCAGGAGCCGCGGCGAGCACAGCTGCTGGCCGCAGAAGAGGAAGAGGTAGTCGTAGGGCAGGGACGTCTTGCCATCCACCTCGACGAGGCGCTCGGCCCTCCGGATCCTGGTGACCATGCCGTGCGCCACGTTGACCCACGCCCCCAGCTGCAGCCGCGCCAGCTGCCGGTGGTCGTAGCGGCCGCGGTACGGCAGGAAGTGGTCCGCCAGGCTGCCGATGTCCGTCTCGCCGGGCAGCCCGTGGCGCGACACCAGCGTCAGGTTGTTGTACCGGACCTCCGGCGAGCTAGATAGGGGCGTCACAAAGTCTCATAACGAAATCGTATTTAATGGCATCTTCTTGTATAGGCGACCCACCTGAAGACCAGGGTTTCGAGAAAGGAGAGCGCGGTGTCGGACGCGCCAACTACCACCACCCGCACGTTGACGCAGGCCTTGGGCATGGACAAAAGTCTAGGCGTGGACAGGTACAGCGCGTAGGGGGGCTCCCGACGGTCGGCGGCCCCCAGCACCCCCTGCTGTTCGCCCTCCTGTGTTCGAATTAAACAGAATTTAAATTACAAACGCGAATAAAGTGGTTGTGAGGGGCACTCGGCACTCGTCGTGGTCTGAATACCACTGACTTTCGACAGCCTAACCTCAGGCTGTGCACCGTCGTCCTGGACACGCTCGGCCTCCACGTCGAGCTGCTGGTGCAGCCCGTTGGGTGGTGGTCGCGGCGCCACGGGCATGAGCTCGTCCAGCACGGTAGGCACGCTGAGGCACGGCAGCGGCCCCGGGAGATCGGCGGCGGCGGGCGCCTGCTTGTGCAGGAAGCGCAGGTCCCGCCTGCGCGCGCGGGGGGAGTTCAAGAGCACCGTGTCCGCGGAAACTATCCCAAACCTTGCTCCTGCGTCGTTCTCACCTGGTGTCCTCGGCGCCCTTGGGTGCGAACCGCTCCTCCCGGCGCCACAGGTCCGCGCACGGGTACAGCGTGAAGTAGAGGCACGTCTTGGCACTGAGGCGGTGCAGCTCGCGGATGAACGCGCCCGCTCGCTGTTGGAACACGGGGCTAAGGACGCACACCCTCAGCCCGCCGTGGTCGTCCTGGCTCAGCCGCGACACGTCCACGAACGCCTCCACCATGTAGTGGCACGCCATGTACTCCCAGTCGTCCTCGTCGCTGACGACGAGGATCTCGGCGGTTACGATCAGCATGTGCACTTTGGTGTCCAAGGCCGAGGACTGCCCACCCATACCTGATGACGGCGACGCCCACGACCTGGTCCTGCCAGCAGGCCACGTAGGCCGTCAGCCAGTCGCGGTGGTCGCCGTGCTCGCCGAGGGCGGCCTGCACCTCCCGGAGGACGAGCTCAAGGTTTCGCTTGAGGGTTCGAATCAGCTGGAGGATGTCCGGTAGGTCCTTGGGCTCAGCCTCGCGCACGTCCAGGTCACTGGTGAACATTACGAGCTCAAGAGGACCCCGTCAACGGGAGTGGACGCGACACTGCTTGAAGGAGACGGTACCCGAACACGGCGGTGCGGTGCGCCACGTACAGCTCCTGGTGGAAGTTTCTCCTCTCTCGAGGGGCCACCCTCTACGAAACACACAACCTGACTGGCTCACGGAGGCCACGCTGACGCTGCGATTTTCCGGCGTGACACAGAGTCTTCCGGGGCTCTCCGGTCAGTCGCTCACCACGAGGTGGTCGAGTAGCGGAAAGGTCGGGTACGCGTGCGGCACGGTCAGGGCGCAGTAGTCCAGGTCGGGGAACACGCAAAAGGCCGCGACCAGGAAATCAAAGGCGAGCCTATAGAACCATTGTAAGAGTGAGAGCCACGAGAATAAGAAATATGCGTGAAGAAGGCGCAACTGCCGGGGCGAACATGAACCACTCACTATACTACTCGCACCTCTCATCGTAGTGCTCGTGCATGGCGAACAGCTCGACGAGAAAGGCGTTGGGGGCCCCTTTGAACTCGGGGAGCAGCTCGATGGTGCCGGAAGTCATGATCATCATTTCGGACGCCGTCCTTACTCGGGCCTCTGCAATAAAAAAATGGATCCAAGAAGCAGAAGCAAAGCGGTGGACCTACGGTGTATCATCACGTTTAGGGGCTTACTCTTTTTCCGGTGAAATTTGAATAGCCTGTCGTCTTCCAGGGAGCTCGATTCCTGCGGGCAAAGCGCGTCGCAAGGCTAGTAGGGGAGGAGTCGCCCGGCTGGGTAGGCCAGCCCGCCGCACACCGCTGCGCGACGGGCCGGCCGCGCGAGTCCAGCAGAGCGCCTCACCCACCGTCTCCGCCAGGGACGCAATCTCCGGGTCGACGTTGGCCCAGGTCACGTCGGCCAGCCTGTAGGGGTCGTTGGGCTCGTCGCGCTCCTCCTGCGTGAGGGACAGCTCGGACAGGTAGTGTTCGCCCCCCGTCCAGCGCCGGCGCTTCCGCTCCAGGGCCTCGGCGTGCAGCCTGGCCGCGCGGGCGGCCGGACCCTCGGCGCGGCCCCGGCCCCGCGGCCCGGACACCTCGGACGGGCACCCCGAGGACTCGGCGTCATCCGCGGGGCCTTCTCTGACGACCAGAGCAGAACGGGAATCTGAAAACAGATCACTTGGAAGGAGAACGAGAGGCCCGGCCAGTCGGTCGGAAGCGCATACTCAACGGCTTTTGCTGGGTGTCGCGCAGGGCCTGCTCCATCTCGGGCCGCGGCTTGGCCCAGCCCGGCAGGTTGAGCACGTCGCGGGTGTGGGGCTGGCGGAGCCCGTAGAACGGCAGCAGCTGGAAGTGGGCGTTCAGCAGCGCCAGGTTCACGTCCGTGTTGAGCACCATCACGCCGATGGCCCTCGCGCGCATTTCCCAGTCCTGCTTCAGTTTCCGCCGCTGACGGGAAAAAAAAGGGTGCAACATGTTAGATCTGCGGGGGCTCAGAACGATTTTCCCAACTCAAGTTTTCGCTGTTTGTATACGTACCTTGGGCTCTTCCGCCACCAAAATCTTTCTAGACTCGGGGTTGGTTATGAGCTCGGTGATGTAAAACTCTCCGTAAAGTTGACGAAGCCGCAGGGAATGCTGGTCAAAGATACGTAGCAGATCATCGTTATCTTCACAGCTGTAAGTAATCCAACCAGAGTGTACAGAGATAACTTCCGAATGGCAGTGACCTGATGCACCTGATGGCGTATATAAGAGATAGCCCTTACTCTGCCTCGCGCACTCGCAGCCCCCTGACCAGTGCCTCGCGGGGGCAGATGAGCAGTGACTGGAGGTTGGCGGCCGACTTGAATCCCTTGGCGAGCTCCTCGTCAAACAGTCGCCATAGCACTTCGTCTGGAAACTCTCCTCATTTCAGAGGCCCGACTTCACCGCGGAAGGTAAAAGGTGTATAGGTAAAGCAGTGTACTGACTCGGAGGGGTCTTGGCGGGCACCACGATGACCACCTGGTCGAGGGCCGGCAACGTGACGAACACGGAGTACAGCAGTAAGTGGGCGCACGTCACCATGTACCGGGCGTCCCAGACGAGCAGGCGCACGAGCAGCGTGGACGTGGCGCCCAGGTGGAGGTCGTACAGGGGGTTGAGCCACTCGGGGCTGGCGGCCGGGTGCAGCGCCGGGCACAGCGGCCAGTTGGAGAGGCACAGACAGGCCACCACCTCGCCCAGCACGTTCAGCTGACACAGCGACAGCACGCAGCGCTCCCTGTAACCGTGCAACACGGTGGTGTTCAAGAATACGAACGCCATGCTAAATGTACACGCGAAGAGGAATGACTGAACACTCACAGCGTGGCGGGGATGTCCTCCACCTCGCCGAAGATGCTCGTGGCGTCCGACTGCTCGGCCAGCTCCAGGATGCGGGGGAGGTCGCGGGGCTCGGTGGGGCGCCAGAACGCGATGGGCGGCCCCTCGACGCCCATCATCTGCGCTCACAGGGTCCGAGTCGACGGGGTGCTTGGGCGGGGCGGGCAGTGCGTGGGCGTCTCTGGGGTCGCGCGGACCAACCTGTAGTGGCTCGTAGGACCCGCTGCCCCGGGAACTGTGCACGGGCGTTGACTGCACCGACGTCATCGGGGTGGTCCTCCTGGCACGCCCCGGCGCGTGGTGGTCTGAGGGTAGTGTGGGTCAGAGCAAGGAGCAGTGAAGGGCTGACCGTCGGTAACACGTTTACCTGTGTTACGCACCTGTTGCTGACGCTCCTCTGGGGGCTGCTGTCGCCGCTCGCACTGAACTTCGCTTTGGCGCTGGGGACGCCAACGGAGGCATCGTAGACACCTTCGCGGCGAGTGCCACGGGCGGTCCCACCGGCTCATCCTGCGCGCCCTCATGCTGCGCGTCGGCTGGCTGCTGGACTGGAGGGGCACCCTCGACCTCTTCGGCCTCCTCAGGGGCGCTCGCCCCGGCGAGGTTAGCTTCCGACATGGCTAGCCGCTATCACAACATCAACCGGGGCAGCCGCCTCCTCGGAAAAACGAGTTGTCAGAAAGAATTTGAAAGAGGAGCGCCATGCTGTTTGTTTCTTTGTTGCGTCGAGATACGCGACGGCAATGTTGAAGCAATGCTCGAGCTCAATCCCACCATCCTACCCGCCATTTCACAGCCTTGTTTTGTGGCAGGCTCACCCACCCCCCACCCTCCTCACCTAGACTGCGACCCAGTGCGACAGTCTCCTTCGAAACAGAAGAAAAATCCCGCTTCCCTTTTTGATGGGTCACTTGCGTCACTCTGGCTTCTCCCTTCTCAGCCCGGGCACTGGCAATTTCAAAAACGACGTAAATTATAAACGTACAGAAAAAGGTCAATTAGGAAACTAACACAATTAACACAATAATTGCATGCTGCCCCAAAAGGAACAGCATCGGGAGCGATGTGATGCTACAGCGGAATGGATCGGTCGCGTAGCACTATCTCTGAATCGCCACGATCGTCATTCACTATTTACCTATTTACACTGGGCCCTGGCCATGAGCTTTGCGCAGCTGCGCTGGAGTACGCCGCCGGTTTGCCCGCGTGCAGTTAGGGACCCTCCCCCTCTCCCACAGTGGCCCCCCCAGTGGAGGGACAGTCCGTAAACGAGGTGTTAATGCTGCGTGACGGTGTCACGGGATTTACGCGACTGCCCCATTTTCGACAGCTAAGAGGTCTCTATTCGCTCTGCCTGTCCCCTCCCCTCTTGTGCGTGTGGGTCCTCCCCCCCGTGCCCGGCGGCGGCCCGCCCCTCGCCCTCGGTCTCAGCACAAGTGCACGTTGTTACATGGCTACATGACGCTCCTCATGTGACCCCTCGTACCGCTCCGTCCGCGCTCCGTCCGCCCCAACGCGATAAACGCCTCGCTTTGTCTTGTGGTCAGCGCGGCCTCTGCTGGTGTCGGATCTGCAGTCGTGTCGTCCGAGCCAAAGCCGTGAGGTGTCGAAGCCATGGCGCCGATCAGGCCGTCGCTGCTGTGTCTCGCTGTGTAAGACGCCTGTTTTCGCCCTTGCTCAAGTTTCCCCATGCTCCGAGCTTGGCGCTTGCTTCAAAATTTCCCGCCTCTCTCCACACGGTCTCACGAGGATGGATGTAGCGGAGTTGCCAAAGTGTAGCAAGATGTCAGAGTGCCGATTATTCCCGAACTCATTCATTCAATGATTGTACCTCCATTTGTTAGCAGTGTGCTCCTGCAACTGTCTTGGAATTCTCTTGGTGTTCTCTTGTTTTCTTTCTTCGCATTGGCAATACTGGAACTGACTACTGGCTGGCTCAGAGGGGGAGGGGAGGGGAAAGGGGAGGGGCGGGTAGCGGTTATGCGGATGCTTTCTGCTTTGTTTGCACATTGTGACGGTGTACTCAAAAAATCAACTGTGAGGAGTCAACAGTCATGATCTTTGTCCCTTTTGTAGATTCATCTGTTTTATAAGGGAAACAACCTGCTGTTCCTTGACAACTAGTGCCATGGCTGCGTCTCCAAGTGCTGAGATACCGTTTGATTTTCGACTAGTTCACGACGGATTTGCCTCTGCTCTCGTGGAGGATGAAGATGTTGACATGGAACAGTACCTTCTTGCTTATAAAGAACTTTACAAGTGAGTCAATTGATAAATTGAGTAAACATATGTCTCCTTAATCTTTTAGTTTTAACTTCCCTGCAACGTCTCTTTCTCTCTTTAATATTCGTTGTTGAGGTTAAAACACTCTGCTTTCCTACTAGTTTTCCCCTACAAGAATAGTCAATATTTCTGCTTCAAAAGTTCGATTCAAATAACACTCAATCATTCAATCATTGTGTTATCACCTTCAAACTTTGATCGGCATGTGCTCATTATCCCTCAAGTCTCTCGCGTACTTTGTCATTGAGCTCCAATAATAAGCATGTAACATTTTTGTTCCAGATTTTTTCAACTCATGGGAACAGTATTTTCTTTTGTCGGCTCAGACGTAAAGGCTAAGATAGATATTTTGGAGGATTTTTCCAACTCTTCTGATGGACAACATTTTGCTACTGTGAAGAGTATGATAAAATATGAAATGGAACAAAATCTTCTAAAGAAAAAGGACTATGTGTCTGGGTCACGGACCTTGTTGCGGCTCCATCGTGGTCTTGGTGAGAATTTCTTTTTACCATCCGTATTATTTTAAGTAACTTGTGCAGTTTTGTGTTAAGAAGTTGTTTGTAAAGCAATGTGATGGCGTTTGATACCTGCAGATTTCATAAAGTTGTTCCTGCAACGAGTGGGAGAGCTCTCAGACACAGATGGCACCTCATCTGCTGGTCATGAAGCTTACAATGCCACTTTAGCTAAACATCATCCGTGGATTATACGTAAGGGGGCAACAGTGGCTATGTATGCACTTCCAACACGTAAAGATTTACTCATTAAGGTTTGTAAAATTGTAATTGCTTTTAGTTGATATGGTCCCACATTCACACCTTATCCCAAATATCTATCTACACTTGCAGGTGTGTGGTAACAATGATGAATGTGTTCAACGAGCTTTGGATGTCTTACCAAAAATGATACTAGCAGCAGATGAAGTGTATGCAAGAACCGAACAGTGTTACACTGAAAATGATCTCCATGGCTTACCTTAATGTAGGCCTCAATTTTATAGAGAGTAAAAGCAAACTGCTCAATGTGTTTTGTTTTTTTAATGATTTTTTTCAAATTTTGTGCTGGCTACCTTAGTATGAGTTGTGGTTTTCTTCCTAGCATTTTAAAGGTGCCATTCTAAGGCTAATGAATAACCTTTTATTGCCTGATGCACCCCTTACTACCACATGATTTTCTATTTACTTTTCAATGATTTTGGTATCAGTATTTAGTTGTGTTTTTTTAGTTTATGGTTTATGAGCAGGTTCTATTTTATGATTTCTTTTTGTCTGTGGTCTTTAAAGTTTGGGGTTTTTGTCACTATGGTTTTCTTTCCTAGTTTACTGGCTGTTATCACATTATTGTTTCTAACTGAGCAATCTAAACTAAATCTGATTGTATGTTAAAAGTCCCGGTAATTTAATTGTACAATGGATTAGGTATATACTAAGATATCTGTTGTACGTACAATGAGTATTAAGAAAATATGGAAATGACTTTCTAGGTTCTTTGTTCATATCCTACAGTAGTGGGTTTGGATACCAATCCAGTTGCATGGCTTTTATTTATGTTTAAAGATATATGGCTATGTATCTTTTTGTTTTAGCCTCTGTGAGGCCACAAATGTGTTGACAGTCAGCATAATTTCATTCCATAGATATGATCATGATCAATGTGATAAAAGGGCGAGCTCTACCTGAAATTTTAAACTTTCATGTGCAATTTGCTGTCAATCAGTTTTGGTGCTTTAATTTGCAAAGGTTATAACCCTCTGATTAGATTGATGTACCTTCTGATTGTTTTTCAATTATTTTTTTTTTGCAAAATGACTGAAAGTTGATGTTTACATTTTGCACTGAATGACTGATTAAGTTTAGCTTGCCTTTGTAATGTTACGGTCTCAATTACCAGCTTTATCAGTATGAATAAAATGTATACTCCAGTGTTCATTTTTAATGTGTTTTGTAAACAAAAGAATGTTACCTATTTCAGTGTTATTGATGTTCAGGCATCTTATAGGCATATTTTATCACATTTGGACTATATATTAAATATTGGAT